CTTGAATGAAAACAATATGAAAGGCTTCATCATTGAAGCAAGAAACAATATTGAATTGAACTCCATAAAAGGAGGAAAGGAATGCAAATGGAACTGGACTAAGTTCTATATAAAAGACACTCCATTGTAGGAGGAGAAGAAACCTCCATAAGGAGGGATTGGAGAGAAACTACAATCCAATGATCTACAAGCTATACAAGGTCTGGTATTTATAGAGAAATTGAGTAACTAAACTAAATAACTAAACTAATTAACACAGCTATGGACAACTGTAGACAGGCCGGAAGAATCCATGTGAGAAGCTAGAGAATAAATCTGATTCGTTCAATCTGCAAGTTCTGGGATTAAGCATCTGGTGCAAGTTATCTGGAAGGCTTTGCTTTGTTGATGTGTATATCTTAACACTCACCTAAGAAAAGGGCTTCACTTGGATTCATGGAAAATGCTAAGTCGAACTTAAGAATTGACAAAAATGGTCTTGTCAATATTGGAAATATGATGAATTACATGGTGCTTTTAATTAGCTAGTTTGTGTTTTGGCTGGATGATTCAAGAGACCTTATAATTTTGATATTAGATTCTTAACTATGTTTGAATAATTCACATCAATGTGAAGGTAATGCTAGATATGAGAAGGCCAAGTTTAAAGTTATTGATTTGGTGAGTTTTTTATATCTAATTTTCCTCTTTTCAAATAAACTGCTTATAGTTTTGCTTATTTTACTAGTATAGACTACACAGATGTGATCTGGGTGTTTTCTAATGTGATAGGATGATTATGCTGCTGATGATGAAGAATATGAGGAGAAGTTGAAGACGGAGACTTTGACATTCTTCTTCCTCGCTACATAGGTCCCTTAAGTTTTGCTTATTCTTTTTTGTTGGTGTAGTATGTCCTAGTCTTATACGGTGATGAATTGTTTGATTCAATTTAATTATTTAGTCTTGAGCTTGCACATGTGTGCGTGCCAATTCTGATAATTAATGAATCTTTTGGGTGTATCTAATTTATTAACTATGGTGACGGTTGGTTGGTTGCAGATATGGTGATGGTGAGCCTACTGACAATGGAGCAAGGTTTTACAAATGGTTTACAGAGGTGAAGTATTAAAATAGATGGTTAGTTACTTGGGTTTTTCACATCGGGTAAAAATTGGAGTCAATTTCTGAGTATGTGTGGTGCTGGGGTATTTTACTCTGAGATTGGAATCCATGTCCGTAGGCACATGTATCTCTTTGAAGAGTGTGTGCGTTTCAGTGTGTGTAGGAGTGAAGGGAGATTGATTGTGTAGATCTGAAAATGAATGTTGGGGAAATTTGAAATTGAAATTCAGGAGAAAAAGATAAGCAGTTTGGGACCTGGGTCTTGTTTGTTTGCTATTATTTCTTTAGCACTAAAGTTCTCGAAAATATTTTTAAACAAAACTGATAGTTTTATTTTTTTTTATTTTTTTTACATGTTTCATGATATATAAAGTTAATTTTATTTTTACAAATATTTAATTTAAATAGGTTTTCAAATTACGAATATTTTTATAATCTTGCTTCAAACATGTTTTAAGGGTATGTTCCTATTGAGTTCATTGGCAAGTCTGAGACATTAATTTTTTTAGTTGCTGATTTTCTTTATTGAGTAATATATTTACAGTCACTCACTATCATAATCATCTTACATGACATACATCTGACGGTTAGTTATTTGATGCATTAATGTGGTAGTAAGTGATTGCGAATAAAATTATTTTTATTAATTTTATGGTAGAAATGTTTTTTTCTCGATTTTTGGAAAAGATGACAAAACAAGTCTTTTAATTTTAATTTTCCTTTTTTTAAAGTGTTCAAGTGGTTCCCTTTAGCGATGCGGGCTCCATGTTTCGAACTACTGATTGCCCTTTTTCTTTCAATATCAGCCCGGTTGAAATGGAGTGCATGTACCTATCAAGAAAAGAAATGGAGTACATGATTACCTTGGAATAACGCTTTTGCCTTCGATACGCAACGCTTTTAGTTTTTTTTTTT